GAGGTAAAATTCATTGGGAAAAGCAAAAAGGCAGAAGGACCAGAAAGAGGCAGTTGGATACTAAGCGCCAAGCAAAGTTCTTATAAACTTAGCGGCCTTTCTGTTATTTACTTCAAAACAGAACAAACTCCAATGGTGGAACTCTAATAAACTAACATGGTCTTTTTGTTTGACTTCCTCTAGAATATGCTGGATATTAACAGGTAGAATGGTAAAAACACTTTCTGTTAATTTTCTTTAACTTTCTCATAAAAAAACTCCAAGGAATATAACCAACTCGCACAATTTTCGTTGCGGAAAAGAAAAGAAAACAACATGTAACACTCCTAACCATGACCAGACTTGACTTTAGAGAGGTAGTGCAATTACAAAATCATTATTCAAAAGTCATGGAATTCGCCCTCCAAAAGTCAACAGTGCAACTATGAAGTTATTCCACCAAATGGATGGATATACCGAGGAGTGAAGATGTAGAAAGCAAAAAATTATTTTCTAGCAGACACCACCAAAAGAAACAATCTGGACCTCAACCTAGCAGCTGTCATCAACTTAAAGCTAAGTGGCATCATATCAAGTCATGAGAAAAGGGTGCAATAAAGTAGAACAACCTTAACCATAATCAGATAACTTTGAGTCTCCAAACCATCACTGTTGGTTGTATTATTCTATGGCCCAAACTTACGAAATCACTAACACCATCAGGCGAGTATAAAACTCTCAAAAACTTCCTCCTTCTTCTCATGTAAAATGGCCCATGCAACCCTATCCAACAGAGGGTGTGAACTACAGATTTTGGAGTTCCAAAATCCACAGATTAAATGAGTTATTATGCTTGGAACAAATGAATTCCACAAAGGACCCATGAAGTTCATACATCCGAAACAGTTACAAGTGATGATTGTGTAAACAAGTTTAATGAGAGTAATTCTCCACTCCAATCGATCATGATTACTTACACAAACCCCAAAAAATGTTTTGCAAAACCAAATACAAAAATCATTAAACAACCACCTAGATGCACAGCCATAACAGCTGAACTAATTTGCACATGTTGAAATGCTAGGTTTTCTCCACGATGTCTGTATCTATTTGTGCACAAGGCAAATGGGATGTCCTGCACAAGAATTCTGAAACCTCGGTTTTCTGAGGTGAATATGTCATAATCATTAACGGCGCAAGTTACTGCAGCTGATTATTGACATTTTGGGTGTATCTTAAGAATCATTTTCACTTCTAAAGACAAATAGAAAGAATACAAATGACCAAAGAAAGAAAAAACAGAAATCACCTGGGTTTCTTCCTTCAAATCTTTTCTATCTTTTGACTCATCATGCTTTGATGATGACGGAGAAGCAAACGGGTTCGTCTCGTTTGTCTTAGCTTCATCTTCCACTTCCTTTCTAACTGCCCTTTTCCTTTCTTCAATCACAGCAATCTGAAAATTCAGCGGAATCAATCAGAGCCAGATTTAAAAAAAAAAAAAAAATTTACTTTCATGGAACCAGAGTTTATGCTCAGAAATAACTTTTTAGCACACTACTATACAAGATCAAACAATAACAAGAAAAAGGCTCCAGACCTTCATCAAGCATGCATCAAAGTAAAAGCGAAACCCACTTTTAACATACATGAAACGTACAAATTATTTCCAAACACAGTCTGAATTCCCAAACCCCATAAGCCCTAACACCCGAAGAACCTCGTATATACATACAGAAACAAGTGCTATGCACAACTTAGGTATCTTATAAACATACAGGAGTATATCTGAACCGGCGCCTAGGAGGCTCCTCGGCTGCAACGGAGCCGCTATCGTTGGCTACCGAGGAGGAAGAAAGGGGAGTCCACCTGCAGAGAAGGAGTCGGGTTGAGGCGTTGTTGTGGCCGTTGGATTGGGAGGAATCATAGTTGACAGTGGATGACGAAGAGGATGAAGACACGTGGACCCACTTCTTCTTCCACCTCCTGACCGGCCCGTTGAACACCGTCGCGGCTGGTCCGTACCTCGACGAGGTTCGTCCTAGTCTCGACCCCACTCCCTCCATTTCACCTTCTTTTTATCTCTCTGAATAATGGATTGGAGAGCAGAGAAACCCAGGCTTGTTGTCTGTTCGCTAGTTGTAGCTCAGAAGGAAGACAGAAGTACAAAAAGTAGAATAGACACCCAGGAAAAGTGGCGGCAGATAGCGAAAACGACAGCGTTTAGCTCATTGAAACGACACCGTTTAAATGCATCAATTGCGATTTCCACCTCCAGTACTAGTAACTAGTAACTGGCAAGGTAATAATTTCCACCGAAAAAAAGGTAGCAACGTAATAACTGCCTTCTATTTTATAAATAGATTAATAAAATAAAAAATAAAGCTGATTTTTTTTTTTATTTTTTAATTAATTAAGGTTTTATAATTAAGAATTTCAATTATAATCATCTACTTAATTATTAAAATATTTTAATCACAAATGAGACAAATATTTTCCTTGAAAATTTTGAGAAAAAACTAAACCTAATTTATGTAATAATTCGAATTTCGAAATTAGGATAATAATTTATTTAAATTAAACCGTGGGATAAAACGTACCGTTTTGCTGAGCCAAAGTATCAGAGCAGTCTCATCTACAATGAGCTAAAAGAGCTCACTTTCTCTTGACATAGACCGGAAATGGAGCTCTGTGTTCTCAGCTCAACGACGATGCTGAATTCAGTTGTTTCTTTTAAACCAAGCCTTCGTCTTCATGACTCTGTCCCCTTCGCGAGCGTTCACTCTGTTTCTTTTAAGAGCTCAATTCTTCGATCCGGCAGCAAAAGGTCGTTACATTATCCTAACGAAACCTTTTCGTTTTCCCGCCGAATTAGCTGTCATCAATGGCCTTGGTTTCGCCGGAATTCGAGCGGCTTCATCGTTCAGGCGGCTTCTTCGTCTTCCGTGGCCGCTGGCGTCGAAGAAGACTGGCTTCCCGCCGATATTCAGGTTACAGAGACTGAAGAGCCCAATTCAAGAGTGAGTTTTTCTTTTTAATTTTTTATGATAATTCTGAATGCATTTTTAGATTTTTTTTTTCGTTAGCTAATTGCTTGTATTTATCAAGGCTATTAAATCTTATCCTTGTTCTGTTCCCAATTGAGAATGTACTATATGATGCTGGTTATGTTATTGATTACGTCGATACTGCTCGTTTTTTCTGTTGAAAAAGATGCATGCGTTGCTTCACCAGGTTACTTAATGTTATCTGTTTCCACCTAGTCTTTTGGAATTCAATTTCCTAATTTAATAAGCAAATTTTTGCGGTTTGATATGGTTGAGTTCTTTGTTTGGCTGGGAACCTAGTTCCTGTTTCCGCAATTTTACTGTACGGAAGTGAAGCAGAGAGAGAGAGAGAGAAAAAAAAATTATTTTTTATTTAGTATGATATGGAGAACAGAGTATTTTTTTCTGTCTTTCTTATTGCTATTTATACACGTGCACGCCACTCTTAACAACACAACAATAGTTAACCAACTGACAACCGGTTAACTACTTATTAACAAACTAACAAACACTTTTGTACAAAACAACAAACTAACTGATCTTTAACAAACTAGATATTAACTAACTAGTTAATATTTACTGTAGATATACTTGTTCAGACAGTACTAATACATGTATGTATATATTTATATGTATCAGTTTATCAGTATATGTACCTCTTGCACAGGTGAGGTTGAGTGTAGAAGTTCCACCAGCCGTATGTGATGATTGCTACAAAAGAGTTATCAATGAGTTAATGAAGCAGGCAAAGGTTTGTATTTTTAGTTTATTAAAATTGGCAATGATGAGCAATATTATTGATGGATTACTTTAAATATGATGATGGAACTTATGTTGTTTAATTTCTGGACCATTTAGATTTTGGTTTTTCAGGCCTTATTATTATGGAATTATTTTTCTGTATTTTTTCTTTTTTTGTCTTTTACAATCTGGCAATATAACAAAATAGATACTGTCAGATTATGCTTTTTTTCCCTTCAACTAGGAAAGCTTGTTAGCTTTTATCTTTTTCTTCCTTCCTTTATTTATAAAATGTTGCTGATTATCGATGAATATAAAAAAAGAAGAAGGTGAGAAGAAAAGAGAAGTTTTTCCTTATTCTTAAGTTCTTCATGGTATCAGAGCAAGCCTTATCCAAATTCTTTAGCATCTCTCTTGCTTTCAATAGGCAATGGATGAACAAAGCCCTTCTCCGCCCGAAGTTCTTTTGGGCTCTCACCTTTTGATGCCTGACCGTCATGCTGTGGTTGATCAGGCTCCATCTTTCGTTACTAGCCATCGACTAAATGGCAGTAACTATCTTCATTGGTCGTCCTCGATGTTGATGTTCATTCGAGGGAAAAGCCGAGATGAATATCTCACTGGAGAACTCTCACATCCCATGAACGATCCAAATGCTCGAATATGGAAAGTTGAGAACAATCTTATTATGTCTTGGTTGGTGAACTCAATGACCACTGAGATTGGCGAAAATTTTCTCCTTTATGAGACTGCGCACAATATCTAGGTCGCAACTCGTGAGTTCTACTCCACTCGCGACAACACTTCCGCCATCTTCGAAATTGAAGCAAACCTTCATGACCTGCGCAAGAAGAAAAAACAATAACTCAATATTACAATTTTCTTACTCGAAAATGGCAGCAACTTGATGTTTCTGAGGAACATGCTTGGAGCTGCCCAAAGGGATGCCAGGAGATTCCGAAGCATCGTGAAACAGAAACGAATCTTCAAGTTTCTTTTCGAACTGAACAAAAACCTCGACGAGGTAAGAGGACGCATCCTTGGAACCAAATCTCTCCCGAACATCAGAGAGGTGTTCTCGGAGGTGCGACGCGAAGAAAGCAGGAAGAAAGTGATGATGGGTGACTCGCAACTCAACCCTAACCCTGTTGAAAACATATCTCTTTCACCCGAGACTGGTACTGTCTCACAAGTCGGGTGACTGAGCGAAAGGGACGGTCATGGTGTGAATACTGTAAAAAGCTGGGACACGTTCGTGGAAGATGCTGGAAACTTCACGGGAAATTAGCTGAGAAGGAATCGGCTGAGAAGAAGAAAACACGAAAGCAGGAAATGGAGGAAATTCATCGGGGTAATTTATCTCAACAGAGGAGGGATCCACTGCAGCCGTTTCTACTGGAAGCCCCTTATTTAGTCCTGAACAAATCAGCCTCTTCCAAAAATTGTTTTCACCCAATATAGTTCTCAGTAATGTTTCTACAGTTTACAAAGGTAATTTTTCTGGTTTCTCAACTTATTCCACAAAAAGGGGAATATGGATTATTGACTCAAGTGCTTCCGATCATATGACTGGGGATATCTCATTATTCAAGAAATATAATAAGTGCAGAAATAAATTTTCAGTTAAAATTGCTGATGGCTCTAACTCCCAGGTCGAAGGAACATGAATAATTGTACTGACACGCTAGTTAATTTTGTACTTTGTACTGTATGTTCCAAATTTGGATTGCAATCTTCTGTCAGTAAGTAAATTATTACAGGAATTGAATTGTGTGACTACATTTAACTCTAAACTGTGTGAATTTCAGGACTTAGATTCGGGGAAGACGATTGACAATGCTAGTATGGATTCAGGTCTTTATCTACTGCAAGTTGACAACTCTTCTCTTAATAAACAAACTTATCATGCAGTATGTATTAATCCTAAATCTGTAAACAACTTAAATATGGAATGCCCTATCATGTTATGACATTACCGTTTAAGATATCCTAATTTCGTGTACTTGAAAAAACTATTTCCTACTTTGTTTCGAAATGAAAATCCAACTTCCTTTCAATGCGAAGTATGTCAGCTATCCAAACATATTCAAAATTCATTTCCCAGTTCTGTTTACAAACCCACAAAACATTTTTCATTAATTCATAGTGATGTATGGGGTCCCTCTCGGGTCACTAATATTATCGGGACAAAATGGTTTGTATCTTTTATTGATGATCACACTAGAATTATCTGACTATTTCTCATGAAAGAAAAATCTGAAATTGGCCAGATTTTTAAAAAATTTCACATTATGATTCAAAATCAATTTTACACCAACATGCAAGAAGTGAGGTCAGACAATGGGTGTGAATACTTTGGAACCACTTTGAGCCAATATTTTTCTAACCATGACATTATCCATCAAAGTTCCTGTGTCAATACTGTACAACAAAATGGCATAACTGAACGGAAAAATAGACACATTCTTGAAGTAGCCCGATCAATCATGTTCACTACCCATATTCCAAAATTTCTTTGGGGAGAGGCTGATCTCACCGCTGCATATTTGATAAACCGTATGCCCTCCCGAACTCTCTCATTTCGAACACCCTATGATATCCTCCTCAAGGCATTTCTGCAATCTCATATTCTTCATACCATTCCCTATAAAGTTTTTAGTTGTTCCGCCTATGTTCATATTCATACTCACCTCAGGGGTAAACTTGACCCACGAGTCATTAAATGTGTTTTTTTGGATACTCACCAAGTAAAAAAGGATACAAATATTTCTGTCCCAAAACTCGTCGTTTTTACAACACTATGGATGTCACTTTTTTTGAAAACCAGTCCTATTCCACTATTGATATTCAGGGAGAAAATCCTAATCAAGAATATCAAGTATGGGATATAAGTACACCACCTCTCATTTTTTCTCCCCTCACTATTCCTGAGTCCTCATCAAATTTCTCTGAAACCAGTATCAAAAAGTGTGAAACTGAATCCATTCCTACTATCAACAAAGAGTTACGTGTTTATAGTAGAAGACACAAAACTTCCGTTAATAAAGATTCGGAACCAACAACACATTATCATGAGTCTATTCCAGTTCTAAGCAATAAGAACACATCAGGTAATGAGTTTTCAGGCACAATTTCTGATACGGTTACCACTACTGATCATGATACTGAGTTACCTATTGGTTTGCGGAAAGGAACTCGATCTTGTTCTAAACACTCTATACAGGATTACATTTCGTTCGACAATTTGTCCTCAAAGTATCATGCATATATAAGCAAACTTGATGGTAGCCCCACTAAACATAAAACTATTCATGAAGCCCTTGTATTGCCAATGTAGAGAGGTGCTATTCAAGAAGAGATTAGAGCTCTTGAAAAGAACAAGACTTGGGAACTGACAGAACTTCCATCGGGAAAACATAAAGTTGGATGTAAATGAGTATTTACCGTAAAACACAATCCTGATGGAAGTGTGAATCGATACAAAGCTCGTCTAGTAGCTAAAGGCTTCACTCAGTTCTACGGGATAGATTATCAGGAGACATTCGCCCCAGTGGCTAAGCACAACACTATTAAGATATTACTCTCTCTTGCCTCTAATCTCGATTGGCCTCTCTGTCAACTTGATATAAAGAATGCATTTCTCAATGGAGATTTAGAAGAAGAGGTATATATGGAAGTTCCTCCAGGTCTTGAGACCACATATAAAACTCACAAGGTATGCAAACTCAAAAAGGCACTCTATGGTCTAAAACAATCTCCGAGAGCTTGGTTTGAAAGATTTACCAAAGCAGTTAAACATATGGGTTATGAACAATGTCAGTCTGATCATACTTTATTTGTCAAGAACAGTGTCTCTGGTAAAAAAACTATCCTAATTATTTATGTTGATGATATTATTTTAACAGGTGATAACATAGAGAAAATTAAAAAACTCAAAATTTTCTTGCCAACGGAGTGTGATATAAAAGATCTTGGAGCACTCAGGTATTTTCTGTGAATGGAATTTGCTCGTTCTAAAAAGAGGATATCTGTGTCACAAATGAAATATGTTCTTGACCTATTAAAAGAAACAGGGATGCTCGAGTGTAAACTAGCAGAAACTCTCATGGAAACAACTACAAAAGTTGGATTTAAAAGGGGCAAGCTGGTTGATAAAGAAAAATATCAGAGACTTGTGGGTAAACTTATATATCTTGCTCATACTAGACCTGACATCAATTTTGCTGTAAGTACTGCAAGTCAATTCATGAATCAACCTACTGATATTCATATGAATATGATATATCGGATCTTAAGATATCTTAAGAAAACTTCAGGAAAAGAACTATTTTTCCAAAAAACAATGAACAGGAATATTGAAATCTACACAGATGCTGATTGGGCGGGTTCTATAACTGATAGAAGATCTATGTCTGGGTATTGTACTTACGTTTGGGGAAACTTAGTCACTTGGCGAAATAAGAAACAATCTGTTGTGTCACGAAGTAGCGCAGAAGCTAAATTTCGGTCACTTGCTCAAGGAATATGTGAGAGAATTTGGTTAAAAAGAGTTCTAATGGAAATGAAATTCTTGATTACTACTCCAATGAAAGTATGGTACAACAATAAAGCAACAATCAACATATCTAAAAATCCAGTATATCATGATCGAACTAAACACGTGGTAATAAATAGGCACTTCATCAGGGAGAAAATTGAAGATCAGATCATTCCAATACTCCACGTTCCTATTAATCAGCAAACTGTAGATATTTTAACAAAGGTACTTTTCAAATGACTTTTCAACGAATTAATATCCAATTTAGGCTTACTAAATATTTATGTAAGCTACATTGAGGGGGAGTGGAATTATTTTTCTGTATTTTTCCTTTTTCTGTCTTTTACAACCTGACAATATAACAAAATGGTTACTGCCAGGTTATGCTTTTTTTTCCTTCCACTAGGGAAGTTTGTTAGTTTTTGCCTTTTTCTTCCTTCCTTTATTTATAAAATGTTGCTGATTACCGATGAATATAAAAAAAGAAGAGGGTGAGAAGAAAAGAGAAGTTTTTTCCTTATTCTCAAGTTCTTCAATTATTTTAAATGTTAATAGAAAATATGGATTGCTTGTTTACCATATTCTGAATATTTTACTCTGGGAGAATTCATAGTTGGAGCAGTACTGTTGTTAAGTATGATTTCTTGTGTTGGAAAAGACTTTAGATGTTGATTCTTCTGCTCTATAAGGATTTGATCTTTGGGTCTCTTTATCATGTTTGATACTCATGTAGAAATGCTTGCGACTCGGCAATATGGTTTTTGACATTTTGTTTTATTCTTCTGGATTGTGGCATATGAGCACATAATATCTATTGAAAATTGTGTAAATATAAGATTTTTGGTTTCTGTTTGCAATCTTTTTATTGGTTCCATGTGCAGATCCCAGGATTTCGCCCTGGAAAGAAAGTTCCAGAGAGTATCCTTATAAGTTATGTTGGGAAGCAATATGTTCAAAAGGCTACAGTTGAATCTATTTTGAAGAGGACCCTTCCTAAAGCCATGTCTTCGGTATGTAAAACTAGTGTAAGCAGATGCACTTGCATGTGAGCAACCACCATTTTGTTTGTTGATTTTCCAATTTCATTTATTCTTAAGGGGGCAAACATTATCAATCTTTTGATGCTTTAGGTCTGCAGACTTATTTCATGTCACTGCAGAATATGGTAACATAAATAGAGCAGCTCAAATGTCTATCCTCTCAGGCAGAACCGTATTAGATCTAGCAAATCGTGCAAGTACATACTACCTGTCAACTTACCTGAATAAAGGAAAAAACTAAAAGTTTCTGACATAGAACCTATTGGCAGTTCTTCCAACTCGAAATATTTGTTCATGTCAGAAGGAACACAAATGTCAAAATCGTTTTTTTTTTCTTTTGTCCATTGAAATGGGGAAAAGAAGTTGGGGGTTGGGTTAGACAAGGGGTCAGAGCAAGTTTGCTATTTTTTGCCATTTCGTAGTTTAGGAACTCATTTCGTTGTGAACTTTCTCAAACAATCTCCATTTGACACTCTTCTTTTTTATCATTCGAGCATAAGATCTATGTTTCTGTTTATAGGTGACTGGAAGGGCTTTGAGAGACTCAGTCCGAATAGTAACCAAATTTTCTGACATGGAGGAAACCTATTCTTCTCTGAACTCTCTCAGGTTTGTCACATATACATCCTTTATGATATCTCATTTGAATATTCTTCTATCCTCTGTTTATGTGATTCAATAATGCATGGGCATGCATCTATTACTCTCAACATATGTAGTGATGCTCTCTTCAATGGAGGTAGTTTCCAGAAAAAAACAGATGTTATGAGGTTGTTAGTCTCTAAATGGAATATTGTGATTTTGTTTGCTGATCTGACATGCCCGTCAGATATGATGTCATTGTTGACGTGGTACCTGAAGTGAGATGGAATCCTGAGAATGGATATAAAAGTTTAAAAATTGTTGTTGAGGTAGACAGTGATATTGATGCTCAAAATGCTTGCAAACGGGAATTAAGACGCCGTCACAAGTCCCTAGGTGCACTGAAAATTGTGACTGACAGAGGACTGCAGGTACACAAGCTATATGTTTTATCTGTTCTTGCTTTCGTTTCTGAACTATCTTTTCTTAAGAAGTTTTTCTGAACCAGCGTGAGTATTAATATGAGGGCTTATGGTTTGACACTTATGATTTGACTCAAATGAAACAGAAAAAGGAAAATATTGATACAAACCCTGTAAAACCATTCTTGGAAATGGCTAAGCTACTGTAGGTTCTTATAACTGTTTGCCTTGCCTGTGCGGGGAAGATAACAGCTCAAGAAATTGGGTTTTGCTTTCTTGATATTTGTCCTTGTTTGGGCTGGAGGCCTGATGGACGTTAAGATCAAAGGCGAACTGTGTTACTCTTGTTTAATTTTTTGTATATTTATGTTTGGATGTGTTCCCACAAATAGCTTTACTAATACAAACTTTTGGCAGTAAACTTCTCTATGCTACTTAAACCTAAGTCTGATATGAGCCCAGGCCCATCATAAATATTACTTAGATGACCAGTGTTCTTCAGAATCACTAATTTTTTCAGCATGATTCTTTTCCAGATAAGTGCCCACATTGTGAGAAATGACAATTGAGCAGCAAAGCAATAGCTTCTGGCATGCATCTTCTGTTGCTTTAATAATAAAGTTCCATCTTTTCAATAAGTTTAGGTTTTTAGAATAATCAATTACCGGTATTAATTTTTTCACAACATCACAGAAACAATTGAGTTACGACCAATTATTTCAAAAGCTCAAGCCAATAAGATTAGCTGAATATACTATTTATATTTACAATCAAATCCTTCGCGCCATAAGGTGTAGCATCTTTTTTTTTGTAACATATGCATATTTAAGCAAGTTTTATTGTATTTTTAACCATAAACACAATGCAAATTGCAAATGCATATCCGTGATTGCCATGGAAGGTCCGGAATTTGTATGAAGCTTCAAAATTTCACAGGTGGGTGATCTTGTAGTCCTTGATATATCAGCAACAACAGTTGAGCAGGATGGATCAAGTGTTCAACAGATTCCTGATGCAGAAAGTAAAGGTTTGGCACTATAAACTTATGCTTGAATCACTCTTTAATGCTCAGTCTGCACCATGAGCACTGGCTTCCTTGCCTGTGCTCGATGACCAGAACTTCAAGGACATGACTGGCATTGCTTTCTGTACATACAATCATGATCAATTAGATCTGTATGCCTTGGGAATCTTCATTTGGATGGCATTTAAATGGACACAAGCATGAGTCAGTTCCCACTATGAATAGAAAGGCTTAACGTAATGCCCGTGCTCTGTAACCAGAACTTCAAGGACATGACTAGCAATGCTTTCTGTACAAACAATCATAATCAATTAGATCTGTATGCCTTGGAAATCTGCATTTGGATGGCATTTATATGGACACAAGCATGAGTCAGTTCCCACTGTGAATAGAAAGGCTTAACATAGTCGCACACAATATTATGAACATCAGAAAATCTTGTACTGCAAGTTTCCTGCCGCCGTGCAATGAAGAAATAATGAATTATTTCCTTCACTTTCTTGACTGCTTAAGATGCAATGCTACTATTGCTGGCTTGTATTCTCGATAGGTTCCTCGGGAGTTATAAACTTCTCTTCATTTCATTCTACAAAGCACGATGGCCAATATTGTTTGATTAGTTAATATGAGGACCTCCTGAGTGTGATTCAATCAGATCTTGCTGTGCTGTTGTCCACGGCCATTAATTTCAAACAGGCTTTCACCGCATCCCAAGGGGAGTTATTCACGAATCGTTTCATTGGTGTTAGCACTTGGATATCTTCTTTCACATTAATTATTTATTACAAAGATAACAATTGAAGGAATGTGAATCTCTACACCAGTCAGAGGCCATCCCAGTTGTTTGATGGACCCATTATAACCTTCAATAGAGCAGTCCCTTTTCCAGTAATCTTATTTCAATGCCAATCTGTGTAGGTTTTCATTTTGATACAGAAGATGGTGATAAGGTACTTCCTGGTTTCCTTGATGCACTACTTGCAATTCGACGAGGTGAAACAAAGTCCTTTCCTCTTATGTTTCCTGAATCATGGAGGCAAGAGAGTCTTCGTGGAGTTCATGCCCAGTTCACTGTAAGCTTTCCTTATTTTATGGTAATAGTGATAGTCCATGTTATAAAGCAAAAAAGAGGAAAGGAAATGGAGAATAGCATATAGATTATATGAAAAACAGATCACTTGTAAGGTCATTTCACAAAACTTCCTACTTCCTTTCTATTAATATAACATACATGTCAAGCTTTGTTCATTAGTCTTACTCACTTACCTTCAGGTTGAATGCAAAGAACTCTTTTATAGGGATTTACCGGGATTTAGATGACTCCCTAGCTGATAAGCTACTCCCTGGCTGCACAACCTTAGAGCAGGTAACGAACTCAAATAGTTAGGGTCCCACTATTCATGTTTAATTCAGCTTTCTAATGAGATTCTTCCATGTCAAATCTGCAGGTCAAGGAATCACTGTTGCAAAAATGCCAAGAATTGGAGCAAAATGCAAGAGATCAAGCAACAGATAATGCGATCCTAGACCTTCTTCGTCAGGTTATCTTTTGTTCCTGAATGGGAACTTCTGCATTAAATTTCTCTCTTCAGATTATCATTCATGTTTCTCTTGCCGAACATTGCCTTAAAGCTTCTTCTTATTCTTCCAATATTTGTGCATACCTTATCTAGTAAATATTTGCATTAATGCAGGTGGCATGATTCTTCAATGCCTCCACATTGCATCTGCATAGGATTATCGATGAAACTTCTATCCAAATTTAAGTGCAATTTTTAATAGATTACAATTTATACTTTCATTTCTAGATGGTGGATGTTGATATTCCTCAATCCTTGTTTGAGGAACAAGGTAGGCAGCTTTATGCAGCCAAACTTCTTCAGATACAGGTCAGTATTGCATCCTTTCTCAAGGGCTAAAGTCATAATCTGATCTACTATTTACTTTTGTTCAATTTAATCATTGTCTCGATTTTACATCAAATTAGTTCCCGTATTTTTTTAAAATTTTCGATTTAGTCTCTTCTTATTATTAATTATTAACACCATTAACGTAAATGTCAAGTGTCAAATTTATTGGATAACAGCTTCTTATTAGTCCAATTAGAAGTTAAATATTATGTCATAATTCACATGATATCTGATGTGGTATTAAAAATACTTATACGTTGACCAGTCTGAACCGATTTACATAAAAATAATAATAATTTGGGATTTTGTGTACGAAGACGAGAAAAAGAAGAATCTTGGCGCTGCCAACAGAAAATGGAAAAGGGGGATGAATTTCTGTGATGCGTGAAGGAAGATGGTGACAGAGCTGAAAGCAAGAGATAATGATACTAGAGCTGAAGCAGAGCAGGGAAGGAGAGAGGGCGACATGCGATTTGTTGATGGCAGAAGGAATCTCGCCTTGAAGCGGCAGCGCAACGATGATTTCACATTAAAGATGATGATGTTTTTTGCTATAAATATAGGACCAAGAGCTGGGTTTTCTAGATGGATGAGTGTGGGAAGGAAAGATAAAGGGATGACCAAGAGGGGAGAAAGAAAAAAATAGAGAAGAAAAAGTAAGAGGGAGTGGCTCTGGTAGAGAGAGTGCGAAGGGAGAGTCATGAGACCAAACAGAGAGAGTGAGGAAGACAAACTACGGGGCTGGGTTTGACTGAAAAAAGAGGAGAGGCTGTGAGAGTAAAACTGAAAAAGGAAGGTGATTTCAGCTGTGGAGATAAAAAAAAACAGACAGAGGTGCATGTTTATAATTGGTTTTTTTTTTTTTTGACCGGTTTGAACCTGTCCACATACAATTTTGTTTAGTACCATGTAAGATGTCATGTGATATTTATTTAAAATTGGGCCAATAAGAAGCTGTCATGTGCCAATTTTTATTGACACGTGGCATCTAATATAACAGTATTAACAATTAATAACAGAGAAAGACTAAATTAAAAATTTCTTAAAAAAACAAGAACTAATTTGATGAAAAATGAAGAAAGGAACCAGATTGAACAAAAATAAATGGTATAGGGACTAAATTATGATTTTAGCGTTTTTTACGGGATCCACTGGATTATTTATAATTTGTAATTTGGTTTTAGGAAAATTTATCAATGATATGAATATAATGTCTGCTGTCTTCCAGTTCTCACTCCCAGCATATGTTGACGCAGGCAAATATGAAACTTAATGAACAGCAATTGGCTTCTCTTTCGAGCCCAAAGGCGGTAAATGAGTATCTAGAAAACCAAAGAGAGAATATCACAAATGTGATCAAACAAAACTTGGCCGTAGGAGATATATTCAAGCGAGAAAATTTGCAGGTATACACATTTATTGAGGTTCATATACTAGCCTACTCTTGAATAAACCAGAATCAACTTTGGCTGTTTGGACCAGCCTCTTTAATATCAACTATTTATTAAAGATATATCCTCTATCTGGAAGAGAAAAAGAAAAAACATCACTATAACCATATTATAAATGCTGAGTTGTGCAGTTTTCAACTGAGGAGCTTGTCAAGGAGGTCGAAAACTCCATTGCTGAATTCAAACGACATAAACAAGAATATGATGAAGAACGTGTGAGAGATCAGGTTAGAATACTTCACCATATTGGCAGAGTGGAAAAGTGTTATTGTATTTGCTTTAGTTGGCTTCTTTTGACCAGTTCGGCTGGGTTAGCTGGCTATCCTGCTTATGCAAATATTTGCTAGCAGTTTCTCAAGAGATCATTGAAGTTAATAAAATCTGGCATATAACTACCATTTATAGGCTTCAAATGGGTTGTGGTTCAAAGCTCAGTTTTGCTTTTTAAAATTAGTGTTGGCAATGTATCTGTTGTTTTTTCCAAGTGTTTTATCAGACAATGCAAATTGCAAATTATGAAATCCTTTGAAAAAGCATC